GAAACTACAAAATACAAGATGGTAGGTGAGAATGGTGATTGGGGTAAGGGGAGAGGGTTATAAGTAGAACTATCGAGAGAAACCCTATCCCATATATCATGCACCTCACTACAGCCTAACAGACCTAACACTATCATATGCATATATATAGTTTGACACACCCCCATAGGCTAAGTGAGGGGCATCAAAGCAAACAAATGGTCACAAGACCAATCAAGAAGACAAAGCTCAAGGTGGATGTTGCATGCCATAGGCCACTCCTCCTTTTGACCCTCCTGCCTCCTGATTTTCTCCCTCCTGATACCTTCCACTGATACTTCTGCTGTTCTCGAACTCTCTCCTTATCCATCTTGCCTTAGTGGTTTCCTTACGGTGCTTCCTCTCCACTGCATGTTCCGATGCTCTAACCACTCAAAAGATTCCCTAATCCATCGACAGGTTCCTCTTATTTGGCTAGCTATGCTTGGGAATAAAGCACAAACAAATCCATTACTATGAGAAAACAAACAAACAAGCAGGGAATTTAAACTACGCTAGCCGCTATGTACACAGAACATTTGCTAGCTGCTGGTTCTCTGCTGAGAGCGTGGTGGCAAGGCTAAACCTGCTCACACACGCAAGCAATCAAAAACGCAGGAGCACACAACATCCGATATGCAAACAATATGCGCCGCAGAATTCAGCCCACCTATGTACAACGGTTGATCCCCTCCCTTGACTCCTTTCCTGCCCTCATCCCTTTGGCGCCACTCCCTCCAACCTCTTGCCCATTCATGAAACCCCAACTCTTGGCTGCCATCACTGTAGATGCGCCTCGCTTGCATGACTCTAGGTCCCAACTCGGTGACTGTTCGGCTGCACTCCCAGCTGTCCCTTCTCCACTTCTCCATCCTTGCTCCAATAATACCTGCTTCACTTCCGAATACACTAGCCTTGCAGTGTTCTCCCGTCAGTCATTGGTAACGTACAAACGGTCTTTACGTTTCTGGTGACATGGATCACAATGTCACCACACTGTCTGTGCACATGTTAGCAACCACAAGGCAAATTCAAGAGTACACAAGTATACATGTATAAGCAAAGACAAACAGAGTAACAAACAAAAGGCAAACTACAGCAACCAAGGGCCTACGTCAACAGGGCCTAACTACAAACAAAACCTGTGGTGATCATTAGGCGGAAGAGCCTTAGCAAAGTTGTCTGTAGTGTTGGCCTCTGACTCCACAAAGTCCAAGCGTGCTTGGTCGCGTCGCTGAAACACTCGTAGGAAAAAGGACCTGACGTCGATGTGCTTCACTCTGCTCTTCAGTCGAGGCTCTTGACACAAGAGGATCACGGCCTTGTAGTCGGCGAACAAGGTCGGTGCAGAGCTCGGCCGCTCACCAAGGTCGGTGAGCAAGAAAGTCAACCAATGAAGCTCTTGCGCAGCCATGGAAGCGGCGTAGATCTCTACCTCAGTAGTAGACTGCGCCACAGACGACAACTGTGTGGACTTCAACGACACAGCTCCAGCACCCAAGCTGAAGCAGTACCTCTCGGTAGACCGCTGGGTCTCTACGTCGTCAGCGTAGGAAGACGCAGTGACCGGTCAGCACAAGCCAACTGCTTGATGTAGTCGCCAGAAAACAGGACGGTGTCTCCCAGTCTCCACAAAGCGAGAGAGGATGCTGAGAGAGAAAGGCGAGGTCCGGACGCGTAGAAGTCATCAGGTACATGAGACGGCCCACATGCTCTATGTAAGGATCACTAGACTCAAAAGGCTTGGGAAAATGGTGCGTGACATTGTGGTCAACGACAAGAGGAGTGGGTTGTGTGGTAGAGCACTGAAACCCGAACCGCCAAAGAACCTGCTGCACCATGTGTGACTAAGTCAGAGTGATGGTGCGAGCAGCTCTGTACCTGGTGATCTGCAAGCCAAGGCAACGGCACAACTCACCAAGATCAGTGCACGTGTGTCCCTTTCGAATTTCGGATTTCACATCAGCTAGAGTGACCCTGTCTGCTGTAGCAGAGACCAAGTTGTCTATGCACACAAAAACGGAGAAAGGTGTGGGCCCATAACGAACGATTAGCGACGGGTCGGAGGACAAAGAACGAAACCCAAGAGCAACAAGAGTGGTGCACACCATGTCGTGCCACTCACGGGGCGCCTGGCGGAGACCGTAGACTGGTCGCCTTGGGCTCCACTGGGTTCGAGGCGAGAAAGTGCCAATGAAGCCAGGAGGACGGCGCAGTGAGATTTCCTCGTGCAGGATACCCTGGAGAAATGCGGTAGAGAAGTCGAGGAAGTGCAGCCCGTTGTCTCGCTTTGCTGCAACGTGAAGAAAGGTGAAAGGGAAGGGAAGAGGAGGAGGGCAGTTGCCTTTACAAAACCGCCTCCCCACACCCTTCCCCTCCGCTCCCCCCCCCCCCACCGCACACAACACGGACGCATGGCAGTTGCAGTTGCCGCGATGAGGAGGAATAGGGAGGGGTGGGGGGTTCAAGGGGGACGCAGTATCTCCGCAGCCACGGGCGAGCCGCCACCTCCCCCTCGCAACGTCTACCGAACAAGAGCGCGGCAGCAGGTGCGGGGGTGAGGAACGGGGTGGCGTTGGCGGGGGTACTAGCGGCCATTGCTGGCGCTCGCGCTCGTGACCGCCGCTGGCGCTGATGCATGTCGTTGGTGCTGGCGCTGATGCATGTCGTTGGTGCTGGCGCTGGCGTTGGCGACTGGCGCAGGTGTTCGCGACAATTGCTGGCACTGCAGCACGTCATTGGCACTGGCGCTTGCGCTCACAACAATCACTAGTGCTGGCGTTCGCGGCCAGCGGAGGGGCAACGGGGCCGCGAGCGACGAGGCAGCGCGCGGGATGGGCCGGCCAGCGGGCGAGGCGGGTAGCCAAGGGCGGGCAATGCGGGGCGGGAAGCGTGCGAGTGCAGCAACGAGCGTCCTCACGGGCGCTGCAGCCGCCATCTCTTAACAAAAAAAAAAAAGTCCTTACGATATTTTCTTCATTGGTATATACCATGTCAGTTTAAGAAGCTACCTAGGCTAAGAGAAACCCTAGCGTAGGAGCATGGAGGTAGTTAAGAAGAGGAATTGGCCAAAGAGGTTCGCAATAACAAGGAGAGTAGATATAGGAAGGTGGCAAAGAGGGGGTTTACCACCAAGAGGGAAATAACTTGATACTACGCTACCTACGTTGGATGTAGTTATATAAGTTTCTCAACAACGGCACCCACATCGTCCTTGGCGGCCATATCGTCTTTGGCGGCCATACCATCGCTGGCACCCATATTGTCATCAACGTCCATGGTTGTCTCGTCTTACGGGCAGTTTTTAGGCTCGCCCCAACGTGGCGCAAGCGCAGGCGCCGATATGTACTGATTTATTACCTTGCCATAGTCTGGTTCCGACAGGAACTCATCGAACTCCAAGACGTGTGGAAGCAGCAACGTCACGACAGGCTAATTGCAAGCTGGAGTTGGCGGATTCGGAGGAGCAAGAGGAGCGGGAGGTGCTAGGAGCAGTAGGTGCAGAGGATGCAGGTGGCGCAGGTTGCCGTGGCGGTTCATGTGGGAGACTATACCACTCGTTTGCGGTCATTTTAAACGCAATTCTAGGTTCTTGAAGAGAATATGAGTGCCACGGCAACCTGCGCCATGGCATCCGCTGGCAAGCGAGAGTGGGAGATAATGATGAAAAATTGCAAGAGTGGGTGCACAAGGGGCAACGGAGGGGACCTGGTCAAATAGGTGGCTCGGGTTCCTCGTTAATGAATGACGGGAAACCCTCGCTTAAAGCCAGGGTCTCACGTACTACGAGTGCATTGCAGTTGACAGTGCAAGTTTGTTTGTGATTGGCTAACGAGTTGTGAAGTTTGAAGAGGGGTGAAGCGAGGGGCACCAAATCGCTAGGTGTAGCCGAACCTCCTAGGTTTGGAGAATCGGTTCGGATCCAAACCTAAAATGCCCCAAACTCGTCGAAAGTCTCACGTACTCAAAACTTGTTGTGCAATTGCTTTTGAGACACTGACGGGAATAGGTTTCCAACCCAACCAAAGAGAAATTCGCCTGCACTAACGAGGTAACCTACCTTCGCCTGCCTACGAGTGCTTTGCAGTTGATGGCTGCTTTGCTTACTTGAGACCCTGGCTTTAATCCTGCAAAGGACCATGCGTGGCACGAAATATGTTGCGCTGGCTGGGGGTAGAGGGTTTGGGACGATTCACATGGCAGCACATGACTGTGTTTCCGAGTCAGCGCTGGCAGGTTCGATGGTTCAGATTGCTAACGGTTTTTCATGCACGAAACAACGCGATGATGGTTCGGGTGTGTTCGCCTTATTGAGAGCTGCAATTCTATGTTCTTTCGGGTATGCCATTATTAACGTGATATAGGCTCATGCGCTTACACATTTTCTCAATTTGAGGCGCATCTGCTCTTACGTATATCCGGGGTATGAAGGTTTTATGTCACAGTTTATGATTTATCTCGTATGAATTACTGTATAGTCAGATGCACCCAGCCATCTGGTGGGTCTGGGGCCTTCTGCAGGTCATTAACGTTCACACGAAGCAATTTCAAAGGGGTATTCTTGCTTGACGGTGAATGATTGGGCATCCACGATGCCTTGAGGTGGGGTTTCAGCGGCATCTCCGCTCTTTGCCGTGGCAACATGGCCAACCGCGGTTCGGGTTGGGGCCCGATATGGGGTCGCACATTTTGATGGTCGAAACGTGCGGCACTCCCACTCACACAGCATCGCCGACGCCAGAGAGGTTCCCATTATCGTGGCGCTCCCCACCACCAATTCCGTTCGCCCCTGTACCTTGCTCAGCGACCTGCATCTCAAAACTCCGATTTGCCCTTCACATGCTCCGCACTGAGCTACAACCCCCATCTACCATCATCACACATTTCTGCCATACGAACGGCATTTTGTCACTCCAGAGTTTATCTACGATAGGATAGAGGTTGCATTAGTTAACCGCCGCGGCCGAGGTACTTTTATGAAGATGATTCGGCTCTCCGTTATCGCTATAGTGCTCCTAGTCACCCTTGGGGAAAGACGAGTTGACGCGGGGAAGGTAGTGGTAGCAGGAAAGAGGTTTACCGCTGATTTCACTTACCCATGGAACCCGGAAGTCGACTATGGCGCGTGGACGGACAATCACACGCTCACTACGACTGACGCCGTTGGTATGTGCACAGAGTTTCCATGTTAACCGTTTACTTATTCCACACTTAAGAGGCTTCACCTGTTTCCTTGATACTCATGCCAATGGATGCATTACTTTCGGCCACCACCTCAACATCCCGCCTTGCCTCCAGCTCTGTCTTCTTGCTGACTGACTCGTTCTCTTCCTTTCCTCTACCGTCACTATTTTCAGTCTTCGAGTACTCGCAGCAAGAGGCAGTGTATTCTGTGCCGTCGTACAAAGAACTCGTCGCATGTGACTTCTCGCGAGCGAACCTCCTCTGCTCACCAGAGAACGGCACCGATCGCGCGTGCATGGTGCCGGTGACGCCAACGCCGCGGTATCTGACGTCCGTGGAGGATCATTGCCGTCAAGGCCAGCAAGTGAGTCGCGTGGGCCAGGCGAAGGGGCACTCTGATAAGAAGAAGGCATCACGTTCACCCCGCATCCCTCAGTCTCACCGTCGCCTTGCCTCCTCACGCGACGTCCTTCCGCCAACATGCCCGTGCCTATTCGCTCTCAGGTTGTGCTCCAGGCGGCGACGGTCGCAACGGCTTCCACGCTCGCTTGGCGGAGAAAGCGCGTGCTTCCCCGCCTGCCCGAGGGCCTTCCAATAGATTTCGCTGTGGGCGGCAGTAGCGGGCTGGGCGCGCCGCCCGTGTTTCTGCCGCAGGCGTCGGGCAGCGGTTCGGGCAGCGGCAGCGGCAGCGGCGGTGGCAAGACGATCGTGGTGGGGATGCCCAAGGGCGACTTCACGTACCCCTTCAACCCCGCCGTCGACTACATGTCGTGGTCCGCCCGCACCACGATTTACCGCGGCGACGTCATCAGTACGCCGTCACGCCTCTCGCGCGCGTTCATCCCAGCATGCCGCTGCGCTGCCGTCTCGTTGTGCCATCTCATCGTGCCTCATCCGCTCGATCCTGTTTTTACGATAGCAACCGTTTCACGCCTTGTTTCTAGCTGACCCTCCTTCATCGCTTGCCCGTTCCCTGTCCCTTTCACTTGCACGCACCGCGCAGCGTTCAAGTACCCGATGTACCAACAGGAGGTGGTGCGCTTCACGACTCTTAACGCGTACAAGACGTGCAACTACAACAGTGCCACCATCGTGTGCTACGACGTGTGGGGAGCATTCACTAAGGGCTGCACGATCAAAGTGGATAACACCACGGCCTATTACGGCTCAGGCCTCTACAGCCACTGCCGCGCCGGCATGAAGGTGAGTGCCGCAGAACCACTCCCTCCACGCCCCTTGTCGCTACAGCTCTGGGGCTCCTCCAACCACTACCACCCGGTGCTAAATGAGGTGCTCCTCCTGTTCTATGTTTCCCTCCGCTCGTCGCCCCGCGTGCAGTTCACGGTGCGCCCCAAGGCCCTTCCATACGTGCCGCGCAAGTTGGTGGTGGGCGAGCCGCTGGCGCAGTACAACCCGCCCGACTCCCAGTTCACGTACCCCTGGAACCCGCGCTCGGACATGGCCGCGTGGACCACCGCCACCAAGGTTTACAAGGGCGACAAGCTGGGTGAGTGCCGCAAGCACGCGGGGGTCGGACTCGTGCGCGCGTGCGGGTAATCGTGCTCGATGCTTGTCGTTAGTGTTCCTGTCGTCTGTGGGGCTTACCACAAAGAGAGCTCTTCGCCCAAGCTGTTGCTAAACCCTAGACAGAGTGATGAATCTTAACTCATCGCGCGGTCACTAAAGTTTCCTTCCGGTTGTGTGTTGCGTGGCGGGGGGGGGGGTGGTGCGCAGTGTTTAAGTACCCGAGGAATGCCAACACGGTGTACCAGGTGCCCACGCTGGCGGACTACAAAGCGTGCAACTATAGGAACTACATCGCGTCGTGCGGCCCAGAGGACGGCGTGGGCGTGGGTTGCGAGACGAACCCCATCACGACCACCTCCTACTTCATCGCCTCCACCTACGGCAACTGCATGCGCGGCCAACGGGTAAACGCGCCATCCAGACATATGTCAAAGTTGCCAACATGGGCTGTACCGCACATACTCTCTACCACACACCTTTTGCATTTGCTATCGGTTTCCTGATTACAATCGAATCCGTACCTGAATTTGCACGGTGGTGTGTGCTTTATTTGTGTGCAGGTCATAGCCACGCCCTTACCGCCTCCAAGTTAAATAGGGCCGGTGCTATTTTCCCAGCTCGTGTCACAAAGAAGCTTGTGCCAAACTTCTAGAAAAACAAATGCCTAATGATTCAGTACAATATTGAGAGTGATCAGGGCCGTTTGTTGAGGGCGTTGATGCTAGTCTGATTAGTCTGAAGTTTCAGACTGCTCCCTTCAGCAAGCTTAGTTTTAGAAACCAGCGCATCCCTCTTGTAGCATGTTAGAAGGTGCTAAACTATATTATGTGTTAGGTTTGTTAGGCTATAGCGAGATGCATCATATAGGGTACAATACTTTCTACGGCTTGCCATATGTACCCATCTCCTAGTCACACAATTCCGACATGCTAATCTGACATGGTATCATCATAGGACGCTCCTAGGATCCTAGCCCACCTACCTCTCTATCCCCGTTCGTTAGTTCCTCCGGCCTCTCCTAGAGAGCCAGCCGGCCAGCCGTTCAGCCAGCCAGCCATCCGTCCGGCCAGCCAGCCCCGTTAAACCAGCCAGCCATCCGTCAAGCCAGCCAGCCAGCGAGTCGATCGTCTGTGCACTCCGCTAGCGTGTGTCAGAGGTCCACTGGAGATCCCCGATTGATCCTAGGGAAGGGTTACAAGTGTTGGAAATATGATTGTGTGTTTTTATCTTAAAGTACACTGTTCGAAGTGTGCTAACGAACCTCGCCATAGCGAGGGTGTTGACTGGAGAATCGAGCTACAGGGGCGTGTCAAATGATATATATGTGTGATACATATTGGTAGGCTGTAGTGGGGTAGATGTTATAGGGGATAACCCCTTAGGGTTTTCCTACTTGTAAAATTTCTCTCGATAGTGAACCTCACCTTGCCTAGCTATCTCAACATGGCATCTAGAGCAATGGTCCTAAGGACCTAAGATTGGGGCCCACCTACTCATGAGTTACTTTCCCTACAGCTATACCTACGTGCCTACCTTGCCTGCTGCCCGCGCGCGCCTCGGCTGCATGCGCGCGTGCAATTTTTTTTTTAGCGCGCCCCGCTGCCTTAGCCGCCCGCGTGCTCGCTGCTGTCGCGCGCAGCTCGTCACCGCGCGCAGCCCGCCGCCACGCGCGACCCGCCGCCGCGTGCAGCCAGTAGCCACGCGCAGCCCGCAGCCACGCGCAGCCCGTCGCCGCGCGCAGCCCGCAGCCGCACGCAGCCCGTCGCCGCGCACAGCCAGCTGCCACGCACAGCCCGCAGCCGCGCGCAGCCCGCTGCCGCGCGCAGCCCGCAGCAGCGCGTGCCCTGCCCTGCCTGTGCGCCACTGCCTCGACCTGAGCGCTTAGCCGCCCGTGAGTCGTGCGCTTACCTGCCTTACGCGCGGCCTGTCACAGAACTGCGTGCTTCCTTACCTGCTACAGTTGCCTGCTGCCTGAGCCTGCTGCCTGAACCTGCAGTCTTTGCCTGCTGCCTGAGCCTGCTGCCTGAGCCTGCTGCCTGAGCCTGCTGCCTGAGCCTGCTGCCTGAGCCTGCTACCTGAGCCTGCTGCCTGAGCCTGCTGCCTGAGCCTGCTACTTTTGCCTGCGCTACAACCATGGCGACCCTTACTGTTCTCGCCTTTGAGCCTGACGGCCGCCCCATCGAGTTTGACACCTGGCTTAGTGACCTGCGCCTTTACCTTATGACTGACGTCGCAGACGGAGTGTCCCTGCTAGCCTATGTGACCGGCACTGTCCCTACTCCTGCTGAGACTGCTCCTGCCCCTGAACGAGCACAGTGGGAGCTCCGCGATGCTGTCGCGCGCCTTGTTATTCGCAATCACCTACCGATCTCTGAGCGCGCGCATTTCAACCAGCTTAAGACTGCTAAGACGCTGTATGATGCTGTCGTTGCCCGCTATTCCGCCCCGACCACAGCCACCGTTGGTAGTCTCATCCTGCCTTACCTGTTCCCAGACTTAGCCTCGTTTCACACTGCTGCCGACCTTATCACTCACCTCCGCGCTAGTGACGCCCGCTTTCGAGCCGCTCTTACCAAAGAGTTCCTCGCCACGAACACCCCCCCGCTGTACTTCACCCTCTACATCCTCGTCACCCGCCTCCCTGACACTCTTCGCTCTGTCAGGGATTACTTCCTTGCCAAGGATCCTCCAACTATCACTCTGGACGACTTCGAGCAGCAGCTGGTCGCAGCAGAGAAGAACATCCTCGCTGTCGGTGCTGCTCGTGGCACTCCCCGCACTCCCCTCTTTGAGGGGTGCTCCCCCTCCCCTCTTGACCCCTCCTACGCCTCTGCTGCTACTGCTGTCGACTTCCTCGGTGCGGAGAAGGTCGCAGCGGCTTCCGCTCCTGGTGGGAAGCGTGGTGGTGGCAGGGGCGGCAAGGGTGGCAGGGGTGGCGGAGGTGGCGGTGGAGGGAGCGGTGGTGGAGGCGGCGGGGGTGGTGGAGGTGGTGGGGGTGGCCGTGGGGGTGGAGGCGGTGGGTGGGGTGGCGGCAGGACCGGGAGCGGTGGAGGCGGCGGCGGCGGTGGTGGGGGAGGAGGCAGCGGCAGTGGCGGTGGAGGTGGGAGTGGGGGTGGATCTGGCCAGAAGGGTGGCCAGCAGCAGCAGCAGCAGCAACAGCCACAGCAGCAGCAGCAGCTTCCTCCCCTCACCTCCCAGCAGCTCAATGACTGGTATGCTGGGCGTGGGGCGTCTCGGGGTTCTGACCGCTGCCCCTATGTCATTCGTACTGGCCCCCGCAAGGGTCGCCCCTGCAACGGTTTTCACACTGAGTATCGTTGTTTTGCTAGGCTTAGTGACGCCTGGCGTACTAAGTATCCTGATGCTACTGAGTTCCCCAACTGGGCAGAGCTGCTTAGGCGTGATGTGCCTATCTTTGATCTGGACTATGATGTTATTCTTGCTGCCATGTATGCATTGACTGTTAGTGCTGAGGGTGACTGCTACTTGTGTGTGCCGCCTGACCCCGGTATAAGGACTGCAGCCCTAGGTGCTAGTGAGTCTGCTCCCCTTGGTACTGAGTCGGCTCAGGCCTTGCACACGTTTACACTTGACTCTGGTGCTTCCCGCTGTTTCTTTCGTGATAGCACCACCGTCACTCCGCTCCCTGCACCTGTCCCTGTCTCCCTGGCTGACCCCTCTGGGGGCCCAGTGCTTGCACGCGGCACGACTGTGCTCCCGTGCCCGGCGGTCCCGTCTGGTGAGCTGTCAGGTCTCCTCGTTCCCTCGTTCTCTACGAACCTGGTGAGCAACGCCGTCCTCCAGGATCACTGGGTTGACACCTGGACTCCTGGAGGGCAGCGTGTGGCGATCTGTACGTGCTCCAAGACTGGCCGCCACCTGGCCACGTTCACTCGTGAGCCGGGGTCCAGTCTGTACACCCTCACCACTGTTTCACGCTCCGCTCCTTTGTCTCCACAGCTGTACGCGTCTGCTCAGGTAGCTACCCAGTGTGAGTGCCGCCGCCTGTCGCACGACACGCTCCTGTGGCACCACCGCCTTGGTCACCCCTCCCTGCCTCGCCTTCGTAGCATGCACTCTCGCTCTCTGGTCTCTGGGCTTCCCAGGTCTCTGCCTGCTCTCCCTCCCTCGCCTGCGCCGCCCTGCATTCCCTGCGTCGAGGGGCGGCAGCGCGCCGCTCCTCACTCCTCCTCGTTTCCTCCCACAGAGGCTCCCCTGCAGACGCTTCACCTGGACGTGTGGGGCCCAGCCCGCGTCCAGGGACAGGGCCGTGAGCGGTACTTTCTGCTGGTTGTCGACGACTTCACGCGTTACACCACGGTCTTCCCCTTGCGCAGCAAGGGAGACGTCCCTGCTGTTTTGATCCCCTGGATCCGCGCTGTGCGTCTCCAGCTCCGCGAGCGGTTCGAGCGGGACTTTCCTGTCCTGCGTCTGCACTCTGACAGAGGTGGTGAGTTCTCCTCTGACCTCTTGGCAGCCTTCTGTGCGGAGCATGGCATCACCCAGTCGTTCACGCTTCCGGCCTCTCCGCAGCAGAATGGGGTTGCTGAGCGCCGCATTGGCTTAGTCATGGAGGTCGCTCGTACCTCCATGATCCATGCGGCGGCTCCCCATTTTCTGTGGCCGTTCGCGGTCCGGTACGCCGCGCATCAGCTCAACCTCTGGCCCCGTGTCTCCTTGCCGGAGACCTCGCCCACACTGCTGTGGACGGGGGAGGTTGGCGATGCGTCGCGTTTCCGGGTCTGGGGTGCTCGTGCCTTTGTCCGCGATCTCACCGCGGACAAGCTCTCTGCTCGCGCCATTCCCTGCGTCTTCCTTGGTTTTCCTCCTGACGCGCCTGGCTGGCAGTTTTACGACCCCACCTCGCGCCGTGTCTTTGCGTCTCAGGACGTCACCTTTGACGAGTCTGTTCCCTTCTACCGTCTCTTTCCCTACCGCACTGTCTCTCGCCCCCCCCCGCCGCTCTTTCTCGCTCCAGGTCCTCCCCAGGTAGACCCCCTCCCCGCGCCAGGTCCTGCTCCTTCAGGTGTTTCTCAGGTAGACCCTCCGGTACCTGCGCCTGTTGAGGTCACTGGTGACTCAGGTCCTGCTGGAGGTGGTCCTGCTCGGGGTGCTGTCTCTGGGGGTGCTGAGCCTGGGGGTGCGGAGCCTGAGCGAGAGGCGCCTAGAGGTGCTGAGCCTGGGGGTGCGGAGTCTGGGGATGCCGTGCCTGTGCGTGAGGAGCCTGGCGGTGCTGAGCTTGGGGGTGTCGAGTCTGAGGGTGCTGTGCCTGCGCGTGAGGAGCCTGGAGGTGCTGAGCTTGCGGGTGCCGAGTCTGCGGGTACTGAGCCTACGCGTGAGGAGCCTGGGGGTGCTGGCGCTGGAGGTTCTGGAGCAGCTGGGGGTGCTGGCGCTGAGGGTTCTGAGTCTGCTGTTGCACGGTCTCCTTGGAGTAGCCGCCTTCGTCCACGTGTGCCTCTCACCCCACAGCAGCTCCAGGACTGGTACGGTCACCGTCAGCGTCGCGCTGCTGGAGCTAGGAGTGGTGCTGGACCTTTGTCTACTGGAGGTGCTGGAGTCGCTGGTTCTGGAGGTACTCGTACTGGAGACACTG